GAAAACAAAAAAAACATCTGTGAACACTCGTCACACAAAACACTGCTTTGGGCATCCCTGACTACATCAACGGCCGTCGCACTGCGTCGCTGGAAAAGCGCCAGCTCAGTGTGACCCCTGTCGGTCAGCACACAGGCAACCCCCTTCACACATAATTTTAACACGTGGACACACTCAAAAACACTGCACTGCTCCGTGTTCGAGCGGGTCACCATGACGACGATACGCTCGTCTAGTGTCCACGTTTGCAGATGGCTGTCGTCTGAGATGTTTCGCAGAGTGGCCTCGAAGATGCGGAACGACGTTTCAGAGGTGCCTAATGCCTTCATGATCACCTAAGCACCTCAGAAACGTCGATCAGTTTCTACCAGTCTTCGCTGAGCAACATCCCATATGACAGCCATCTTCACACTAGTCGCCGTGAGAACCCGAAATCTCATCAAGTTTTCTTTGTATAGACCTTAGACGTACTCGCGAATGTATGAGATCACCCAGCAACACCACAGAAGGAAAACTTCGCATTCAACTAAAATCTAATAACTATACAAAATATTTCTGTGTTCCATGCCGAATTCATTTCTTTTTCTGTTCAAACCTATTCTTGCAACTTATTTTGTTAGATACAAAGGCTTCACTAATCTCCACTTCCGTCATGTAGAACACTCAACACAAAAACCCATTTTTCGATCACTGTGACTCTGCGTCTTGCTTGTGGCGTGACATTATAACCTAACCTAACCTAACCTAACCTAACCTAACCCAACATAACCTAACCCAACATAACATAACCTAACCTAACCCAACATAACATAACATAACCTAACTTAACCCAACCTAATCCAACATAACCTAACCTAACCTAACCTAACCTAACCCAACATAACATAACTTAACCTAACCCAACATAACATAACCTAACCTAACCTAACATAACCTAACCTAACCTAAATACAAATTACCACATGCAAAGACTTTATATTTTGTAACATATATGTTTTACGCATTAATTCAAACTATGCATAAGCACTATTCCAACGCAATATCATGACACACTGCTTTAAATATGAACAAATTCTTCAATGTACTTGTCACAAATCAGCCACTTCCCAGTCACATATTAAGCAAACTCATATGAGGATGTCATTACGATAGCAAATAAAAAAACACTTATTAGCGTGTTCAATCTCGCCCTAAGGGAATAACACACATTAAGGTTTATTGAAAAGAGTAACTGAGGGTAATATTTAGACATAAGAAAGACAAAGTGACAGAATTCTGGCGAATCTCCTGACTATCTGAGCGACTATTAACTTCTATAGCAGCCTATTTCCAGCACTCCTGTTTCGTATATAGGAGGGGTCGGGTAAGAATTTAGCCTACAATCGACGGGGACCATGACCTGTGCCGCTGACACTGTCGAAAATTAACCGCAAACAAATGAGTGGGACAGGAAACTGCTACTATGCCGCACCCGTCGTTTGTGCTGCCTAAGTACCAGGCGCATAGCTGCGGGCACCAAATAATCACATATGACCCAGTCCTGGAATCAGAACGGCTGTGATGTGCTGCGGTAGTAGATAACTGAAATATTTTTCACAGAGAACGATAAATTTATCGAACTCCTCTCTGCATTACTTAAAACAAAAGCTCTGACGTTTAATCTTCCCTGGCTAGGGCGCCCGTAATATTCAGTACCATTAAAAACCACACAATTTACCATTTACTATCGAGTGTAGGTACAGCCAATCTGTAATCAGCTGAAATGACACAGCATCTGGATAGTACACAAGAAAACAAAACACATTACATGCATATTTTCAAAATTTATAACTGTAAATGTAGAGAAATAAATGATAATTAGCCCTGAGATAATGTTAAAATAGCATAAGCACACAGAACAGTAACCAAGCATTATCACTATGCGCCTTTTAAGTCTTTGAATGAGATAATATTTCAAAATTGAGTTCCTACTAAAAAAAACACACAACACTTCTCCGTTACAAAACTTATTTATTGATCCTGTCTACTCTGCAAATCAATCAGTTACAAATCAAATGTCATTATATGGGGATAAAACATAAAAGGCACCCCCTTCTCCCACAAGAATAAAGACCGAAATTTCTCAGACGCCAAAAAGCCCTTTTGTGGCCCAGTTCCACTCCAACGCAACAAAAACTATAAAGTGTCGAAACTGCACGCATAATTCCTACTATATTAATACTGTCACGTATATGGCTCATATATAATACAGGGTGATAAAGACTCAGATAAATACGTCTGAATTCGAATGTAAAGGCCAACAAAACTTCATATGGGTTTGCATTTTATAGCTTTTTCTCATTACAAAAAGCACATGTTCTTACTATACACTACGCATTTCACATTTAACGCGTGCCTTTGTTTACGCTAAAAACAAACAACCTGATCAACACAAACCTATAACAAAAACCTCAATTTTTAAGAAAAAATAACAAGTGACTAGTCACAAGTGAATTAGCGAACGTCACGAATGTAACGTGAGTCATCGTACTTACGCGTTACGGTTCAGCCCATCTTGACGGGAAGAGCAGCCGACTCTCCCGTCAGGCTCCGCGCTCGCAAACGAATGAAAAAGAGGACACCCTGTATCACGTACAAAGTATCGCACTAACTATGTCCTGTGAAATTGAAATCTTGCGAAGTTCGCTTTTAGTATTCGGGAGCGACTCAGTAAGTGTAACTTGTTCACGGGATGAATTACTTTGGTGATATTGGTAAGAAGAAAGAGTGATAATGGATAGTGAAATAAAGTGAAATACAAAAATAGAAACTGTGCAAATATAAGTGAGCCGATAATTAGTGTCAACCATCAGTAAAACTACTTCATATCACAGTAACAAAATTAAAGTATTACTTTATATAAATTAATTAAAAAAAATTAATGAAAGGTGAAAAGTAATAAACATGAACAAAACTGTTAGATTCGAGTTTTAAATCGGATATCGAATGCTAGAAATTAAGATCTCGTGCTAGCTAGCACCAACTCGTACTGAGACTACCTGGTGGGCCAATAGGAGTAGCATGCTAGCACATATCGCTGGTGTGGCTGACTGTGTGACTTGCTATGTCATAGATTAAAAAAATCTGTATATCTTCAACAATCGATAGACTGAATCGCAATCCGTCAATATACCAAAGACTTGACAGAAATACTCTGAACATAAAACAAATATTACAGGAAAAAAAAATTAAAAAAATTCTCTACTCAAATCTCAATATTTGTACCATCCACAGGTTTATAATTTGTAAAAAAAAAAAAAAAAAAAAACTAAAATACGTATGAACACAAACTAGTATTTTGTTGTGAAGTAGTTTCAAATTTCGTACTCATGTGCATTCAATTCTACATTCCTATTGGACAAACAAATGCATTACACTATAATTTTAAGATATTAATTCAGGATACATTTCCAAAAACATCGGTCATGTATTTCGGAGTTTTTGTTTGTAGCACCATTCAATCTTGTAGATGGTTACCGACGTTTCGGAGGAACGTATTACCTCTATTTTGAGGATAGAACTGGGAGACATCATGCTGCTCCCAGAACAGCGGTGAACACCCGTAAGGCCAAAACCCCAGGAGCCCCACAAATTAATTCTCGTCGCCATGAAAATCTATGATAATACGTAAAAAAACCTTGTTAATAAAGAAATTGTCATTCGTTTCTGGGAAACAACACCGCAGGTCATGACGTTGTGTCTGCGTCTTGCTATCGAATGTTTTAGATTGCAGTTTTCGTCCCTGCATGTTGGCTGTTTTAGTACGTGTACGCTTTACCCGTGAATATCCGATGGTCATTAGATTTACGTAAGAAACTGAGGGGGGCGAGGCCTGTACTGCACCCGGAACACGTGAAATCCTGGCTTCTCATACATGGAATGCACGGAAATTGCAGTTTTACGAAGTACAATTCAGACAGAGGCAGGTCTCAACCTCCGTCGGAATTTCCTGATCTTTAAGAACGTGACATAGAAGAGCTCAATATAATTCCATGTGTGAGGAGTCAGGATTCCACGATGGCTTCAGAAAACATTAGAACTGGCGGTCTTAAATACCAAGGCAAACAGATTAATATATGTCAAATTCTGTAAGTAAGAGAACATAAAATATTTGTATTACACAATACTGCATCTGCAATGAATAGACACGAGACAAAAACAATGCTTTATGATGTAATATACAATAAGACTTCATGAGATGATAAAGTTGCGTCATATTGTGATAAATATATATTTCTTTAAATATTATCAGTCTAATCACAATAAAATTCCTATTAAATATTAAAATTAAAATATTACAATAATTAACATTTAAATTTAAATATTTAAATGTTAATTACGGTAATATTTTAATATTTAATAGGAATTTTATTGTGATTAGACTGATAAGATTTAAACAAATAAGACTTCAGTTACTTTAGCATCAAGACAGTAACAATGATGGCTGTACATTTTACTGATGTATTAGCCAGCGTATCTGTGCTAAATTTTAATCCAGATTAAAGATCAATTCTGAAAAAAAAATATATTCCAGATATTTTGGTCTTATCTTATGCGAGCCGTGGGGTAATCCTAATGGCATTAGCTAAGTAATAAGTGACTGCTTATTTCTTAAACAGAAATGTCAGTATTCAAGTCTCCTCATCCGTAATCACTCGTTTTGAGTTAAAAATCCAGAAAAAAGGAAAATTGCTTAGTATTAACATAAATCTATCTACATCAACTTCTTATAATATAGATGGTTGCTGGTTCGAGTCCCAAACTCGACATTTCAGACATTTTGCCTGGAACATTAACGAAAAACAAATCACGACACATAAACTTCGTAACAGACGATGTTTTCTGCTGGCAGCACGTGTTGACTTGCCTCGCCCCCCCCCCTCCCACCGACCCCCTTCGGTGTGGGGTTTGCCAAACAGGACTGACCCCCCACCACGGATCTGTTCCTGTTTATTCCACAGGACTTCACGTTGGATTTCTACTTCCGTCAATTCTGGACAGACCCAAGGCTTGCGTTCCGGAAGAGACCCGGTGTCGAGACCCTGTCGGTGGGATCAGAGTTCATCAAGAACATTTGGGTGCCGGACACATTCTTCGTGAACGAGAAGCAGTCGTATTTCCACATCGCGACCACAAGCAACGAGTTCATCCGTATTCATCACTCCGGCAGCATCACGAGGAGTATACGGTAAGTCACGAGTCACGAGTCACGACGCAGCCAGCCTATTCGACCGGCATCCCCGATAGTGAAATTAAATGTGTGCAGAATTTTCGAAAAGAAATCCTGAAAGGAAGAGACGTAGACGAGACGATAAATTTGAAATAATTTGTGAGAATGTGAACTGGTTCATTCGATTCTTCTCGTTAACATTAACACCCAATGTATGGCTTTTGTGAACAAGGTAACGAACCTTTGAGTTCAATAAATGGCGAGGAATGTTTCGACCAGTTGGGCGATTGTCTGAAGAAAACCTCTTCCAGACAGAATTGCGTATGTTATAAGCTTCGAACAGAAAGATAATTACAGATTGCTCAAAAGTGTTGACGGAATTTATCGCGTCGTCCTCTGATCTGCTATTTTAACATTCGACGCCATAGACAACAAAGATCACACAGGTCCGGGAACCGAACTCGGGACTCCCTACATACGAATGTTCCGGAAATTCAGTCAACAGGGACCGAAACGTCAAGCGACCGGGTCGTCTGTCTGTCTAACTGCTGAGCAGTGCAGATTATCAGACGCCGCACAAAACCAAATTAGTCTCGAATCCCTCTCGTAGTTGTGTCTGGTAGCACAGAGTTTGAATAAGTTACCTTGTCGGCAGGTTTGTGTGTTGTAAGCCCTTACGTCAGCGAGGTGGCATGTCATCAGGTCTCGTGCTATCACAGCCACTAACTCGATCTGAACTGATTAACTCCTGCGTATGCTCTCTGCTCTGTGAAGACACTCCACAACGGAGACAGTTGTGCAAACGGACGCATGACATAAATCAACAGCCGATTACAGAGGTACAAGGTCTATTGACGAACGACAGGCCTACCTATAAACAAGTTACCATGGAAACAAAAGTAGCCTAGGTAACCAAGTTACGGCCGGGGGGGACTGCGGCAAAATAACATTCGTTTCAGTGTTCATGCAGTACTAACGCTCCCAAAACCGACAAGTAATACACTGAATAATGCCCTCAAAAGAGTTGTTTCGAAAAATTTTACAAAAAAAAAAAAAAAAAAGCCTTTATCGTGACTAAGAAATGTGTAATCCAAACAGATATGATTTCTGAAGATTATTGTCTTGTAGGATGTTTCGCAGCGTCTTATGATAGTTCACCGACGTTTCGGAGATACTCCCTCAAACATCAAGGCGATCAGGGTACTGAAGATGGAAGCAGCTAGGACCTCTGAAACGTCGGTAAACTTCAACCAGGCTATACGGCGCTACAACCCAGAAGACAGCCACCTTCATATTCGCCGCCTTGAGGACCTCAAATATCACTTAAAATGATTTCTGTCCGCTTGTACGGTGGTCCATCGCCTTTCAGTTTTACTTTTGCCAATTGGTGTTCGTAGGACGAGTCTGTCAGAGTGCCGTAGATCTTCAGTTTCTCCTTTACTCTCTTGTGTTTGCTACAGTAATGCCCGCCCGCGTAAGTGGAGACACTTCTCGACTGAAATGGACAGACCTTTCGTCCTACTCCTTTCGTCTTCTTTGAATTGGTTCTTCCTTTCAGGCAGGAAAATCGAACAGAACGTCCTCCTCACACTACGCTGAAGAGAGAGCTAGTCCGAAGACAGCAGTCAGGGCTACAAAGTGACCGTCCTGGGGGAAAGGAAAAACTGCTACCAAGTTGTCAAATCCCACAACGTTCCGCTCTTTCCAACGTTTTCTCACATACAGGGTGATCGTTAAACGCCTTCGAATTTGTTTACATCATGCAGTCTCGCATAACAACCGTTATACACTCTTGGTTCAAAAACATCGGTCTTTAACTAATGACCTTGAGATGCGGATGCCGGCAGCATACGCCGAATCAGGGACTGTGCAGCACAGTACCTTCATTTCTGAATGTGACTGTACTCCGTTAAAATGTTTTCTCGAGCGTTATTTCTTACCTTACTCGTTTTCCCGTCCCACACGAGGCACCAAAGAAGATTCCAGAATATGAGCTGAACACACTCGTGGTAGCTGCGTCTGCAGTTAGCCAAAGCCTCGCGCGCCCTGAAAGTTAGAGGAAACTCATGACACACGGATGCTGGAGCAAACATTACACCCGCCCACGAAGTTTCTGTCGCAAATTCGTTCCGACCTGGGCCAGTAACTATCTTCCGTTCGCTCACAGCTCTCATTCCAGAATAAAAGTGGATGGAACAAGAAACTGGCTGGATAAAGGAAAGCTCTTAGCTTCAAAGTTTCGTTGCTTGCAACTGAAACAAAGTTAACTTCTTTCTCGTGGCTTACTTTTTTATATAAAATAGCGAAACAAGGGGTGGAAAATTCATGCGATTTATATAACCCGTACGTGCGGTGGTATTTTATCATAATCTACATAACGCATAATACAACAGTTGGTAATTTAGAAGGACAATGAAATGAACGTCTTAGCCCCTTTCGTGCCTTTATCCGCTTCTGAAAGCTGCCTAACGGTTGTAGCACCTGTATAATAAACACTGTGCCATCTACATCATGACTTACAAACACATAATCAAAAGTCACATCCTATTGGATATGTATATTTATTATTTATTTATTTATTTAGTGTTCTGTCTGACGACAGGTCCATATGAACAGGATCCTTCCATCCTTTTCTCGGACTGGGACCTGTTCATATACGTTCTTGGCAGATGATCCAGAAGTGCTTTGCCATTGCCTTCTTCTGTGTGTGAAGGGAGTAATTGTTGGGATGCCACGGAAGAAAACTCCGCGTTGCCTAGACCACGGCCTTGCCCAAAACAAGTTATAAATTCGGGCACCGCCGGGAATCGAACAAGAGACCCCAGGATTACAAGGCCAGCGTTCTAACCGCTAGACATATTAAATTATTTTATATTAATATCAAGGGTCCTTGTAGTATCAACTACTGCCTCATGGACATGGATGTATCATGGTTTCCAACAAAAATAGTTGAGGTTGACAGGTGTTGTATATTATAATATTATATATAAATTGTAGTGTTAATACATTAAAATTACTTATAACCGTAACTCTTAGTAAACATGAAAACAAAACAAAAAATAAACTGTTACTTCAGTTTCGGCTTAAAATTAAGAAAATTACAGAATTTGCTGAATAATTTGGTCTCCAGTGACAAATAACAAGCAGAACTTGCTGTGAACAGTACAGGGGGTGGGGGGTTGGAGGGAGAGGTCACGCGAGCTGAGATCTCGTGTGATGACGTCAACTGAACACCATAGAGATTTGGGGGGGGGGGTTTGAAGGGACGTTCACGTCAGCTTGATACCCAGACCTTACCTCTCCGCGCCTAATGCCATTTTAATTACAGTTTCGGGGGCGGGGTTCCACAGCGCAATAATTAAAATTGTGATCAAACTTTCCACTTCACGTTCACCGTCCACAGTTTTAAATCAGAATCTTGTTCCCGTGCAATAACCAAGAGATGTGGACGTTGATTAACTATTTCAGTGGCCCCACTGCCCGGTGCGTAAAACAAAATGCCCGGACACAAGATTCTTAATCCATCCACCCACTCCCCTGACGTGCTTTCGTGATACCATAGAATGCAACGCATATTGGATAAGATACGAAGACGTGGATTGGATTCATCTGGCTCAGAACAGGGATGGGTGGCGGACTCTTATGGGCACGGTAATCAAGCTTCATGTTACAAAGAATACGGGGAAATTCTTTGCCAATTAGGCGTATCGGTGGCTTCCGAAGAAGGTCGTCTCTGCTCCATCGAGTTATTTAACCAGAAATTACAAACATAACTCAGCGGTACACTGTACTTTCTTACGCCAGAAATGATTTTAGTCTGATGACACACAGCTGTTCCTTCGAAATGTGACGCTGCAGTACTCTGATAATGACTCTAAATTATCGACCAAAATTAAAGAATTCGCGTCAGTTGTTCGTCTGTTCCGACCTCAGTCAGCTTACTTCTTCGATGCTGGTAAAATAAGGGTCGTTCGATTATGGTGATCTATAGATCTCAACGCATCTCTAGAAGACCCGTCTTTTCGTAACGTTGCCAAGGAAACGGTTATAATTTACATATTTATGCTGTCAAATACTGTACATTCACCCACATAAAACCTCTACACCAATGTCAGTCTGAATTGTAATTTGACTTCAATTCTAAAGGGTTTTGATGACGGTAGTTTACACTTAAAATTATTCATTATCAGGGTTTTTCCATCGTGTCTTTAAACCCACGACGTTTCGAAGGCTAGTTCTGTCTCCGTCTTCAGGTGAGAAGTACATTGACAACAGAGTAGGTACTTCTCATCTAAATTTCACTTCAGTTACATATCACGACTGTAGTCCGATTTCTACAACCAAAAATCTTCCCCGGGGTCAATGCGTACAGCATCGGGTCGTCCCCGTCCTAACGACACGATGATCTGTGTTTTGCAGGTTGACTATTACAGCATCCTGCCCAATGAACCTTCAGTATTTCCCGATGGACAGACAACTGTGCCACATTGAGATTGAGAGCTGTAAGTACCAACTTTATAAACACACGTGTTCACTTTTCACTAGGGCACTTAGCTTACGAAAGCACTTAACCAAACATATCGTGACCTGATGCGAATACTTCAGCTATCACATAGAAACAAAATACCATAGAATGCAAATAAAATACATTTCCTTAAAATCATGCCACCTGTAACTAATTAAGCAATGTGGTCGCATTCACGTCAGCATGTGTCTGGATAATATTCACTGTACATTATGATCCTGAAGACAATAGCTTGCCTATAAAATACCATATATTAATAATATAACATGACATGATATGATAAAGTTGCGTCATATTGTGATAAATATATATTTGTTTAAATATTATCAGTCTAATCACAATAAAATTCCTATTAATAAACATCTGACTAAAAGTTGTATTTAAGAAATTATATTTAAGTTTATATAATTTTATACACCTGAAGATGGTTCTTTTAGAACTGAAACATGTCGTGTAAAAAAAATGTAAAAAGTGATGATCTAATGTAAATCGAACATTTCGATAGAGAACATCATTTAATATATTTTAAATATTTAAATGTTAATTATAGTAATATTTTAATAGTTAATAGGAATTTTATTGTGATTAGACTGACAAAATTTAAACAAATATAACATGACATTAAGGTGAATTCACTTTATAGTTAATCGTACTTAAAACTGATGAATAGAAATTTATTCATGGATTAGATATTTTGATGTAAAGTTGTACATGACAAGTGATTATTTGTGTTAAATGTACTTTTATATATAGAAATTTGTTATGTACATAAAGTAGGTGTATTTCCCTGTTGTAAAACACTGTATATTTTCCTGCCAAATATTGTGTTCTGTTATTTTTAATTAATTTCGGTCTCCTTCTCAAAAACAGCACTGAACGTCGTGCCCGGGGAAGGAAGACAAATGTTCTGTAAAAATAAAAAAAAATATATATATAAAAAAAAAGCCATAAACAGAAATTCTTTTCCAAACTGCTGCACCAATATTCGTGGCGCACCTCGCACCGACAGAAATCCGGGAAAACAAGTCGAAACTTGCCATGGATGACGCGACAGCATCAACAGGCAGTAGTAATACCTGCATTGTGCATCTAATTCTTCTCCTCTCTTTGAGTGGCGCCACTCGAAGACCTACACGCACCAAACCGCGGATGGCACTGAAGCAAGACGCTGTCAATGGCGACCATTTACAAATGGCCGTTCAGAAAACTCGAAGTGGCGTCACTACGCTTTTCCTTGTAAAATAAAAGTTGCATGTTCTTTTACAATTCTTTTCTTCACTTTCTTATTTCGATTTTTGTTCGGTAAAATCCTTCTGACGCAAATGTTTGACTTCAACTCTTAGCTTTTGGCTTCTCTGTGGAATAAGTTCCAGGCACTCCACGCCAGATTGTGCTTCATCCCTGCACCACAAATAAAACTGTCACATTTTCTTTGAGCTACATGGATAACGCGGAAACATCTTCATTCCCAAATGATTTATCGTTGTTATCTGAAGCATTACCCTGTAACAAGCATGGATTCCTGCCCAGTACTGCGACGTCCTTATAACCAATGTTCAAGCATGACACTGTATTCATCGCTTAAACTTTGTGGCTTATTTTATTTCTGGAATAATAAACGCCAGCTTCAGCACTGCCTTATAATTTTACCCAAAAACCCTTAACAATTTAATATTAATTATTTTTTTTTCTGTAGATATAGAAGTAATTAAAATAGAACATCAGCTTCTGAACTCGTGTCTTGTGGTATATAATTATTACTTTAAAAAAAAATCACTAGTAATTTGTTTAGTTAACCTTTATAATATTAGTTTGTTATTGTTTTAAATGTGAAGAACCCCTTATATTAAACTTTCATAGTCCCCTTTTTTTGTGTTCTCTCTACCCGCAGTTGGATACACAATGCGTGACATTCGATACAAATGGCATGACGGAACAAAGTCAGTAGGTATCTCCAGCGAGGTTCAACTTCCTCAATTCCGTGTCCTCGGGCATAGACAGAGGGCGACCGAAATTAACCTGTCCACAGGTAGAGTTCACAGACAACAATACATACTCAACAATAATGATTTTTAGCTTCGTTACTCTACTGTTACTGTAAGTCTCATCGTGTGCTGTCATTTAGCAAAGTGTGTCTTGTTTTGCGTTAATATACGTGGCTTTGTTCTTAGTTTCTACTTTCCGCTTTTATTTCCTCTCTCTCTCTCTCTCTCTCTCTCTCTCTCTCTCTCTGCACTGCTGAGGAATCCAGGGAGATGCATGTCGCCGTGAGACGGTGAAGCATCCAGCAGTTGTGCTGATGGACCATTACATTTAAAAAAAAAAAAAAAAAATGGCTCTGACAAGCAAGAACTGCATCTACTGAGCACATAAATTCATAGCTGCCTGCGCTTACTTTATGTTGAAAGAAGGCTCCGTCCAGTTCAGAGATTAGTGCCAGTTCCTTAGCAACTGTAGAAATTATTTTACTTGCTGTAAAGTCCTTTCTAGTAGCTTAGCTTCTTAAATATTAAGATGGTAAGTTTCGACGTGCCTTATATCTTACTTTCATAAGTGAGAAGCTGATTTTATAAATTTATTTAACTTAATAACGTAGATTAGACATCAGTACCCGTATGCTTCATAAATAGATAGTAGGCTTACTGCTTATTCCATACCTTGTTTTGAATACTCGGTGAGGCGATGTGTATCAATTATGACATTATCCGACAGATTTCAGGTTATCGGGAGAGCGTGTAGAGGGATCTGTACCCTAATATTTATCTGTTGACACTGGAAAAGTCGAGGATACCCCCGGTGAATGGCTTCATCAACAAGAATGTTTAGGATTCTCCACGATTCGTTACCGCTTTTCACAATTTTACTGGACGCCGCACAAAGAAACTTGCGAACGAGCCGCTAATGTCGGTAACGAGGTAATGACATGAACGTGAAGCGCAGGGCTCAGTCTGGAGCAAATACCAAAGATCGCCTGCACATGTGAGGTTCTAGTTTCAATCAGCAGTCGAGATGTCTTTTTTCTTCTCTGTGTCCTCAGCAGTTCCGAGTATTTGTTCTGTGTGTGCGTGTGTGTTTCTGTGTGGCGTTGCACCTTGGCTACTAGGAGGACGTAGCACATCGGCAGACAACAGCAGCGCCAACAACAAACAACAACAGGGCTGTGTCTCGCACTCACTCATACCCGTAAGTTGCACATGGCCTTCCTTGTTTCTCTCCTAGTTGGTTATACTATGAGAGACATCCGCTATAAGTGGAACGAGGGTCCCAACTCTGTCGGCGTGTCGAACGAGGTGTCGCTACCCCAGTTCAAGGTGTTGGGCCACCGACAGCGGGCCATGGAGATTAGCCTCACAACAGGTATATCTTAGGCATACTAAATTCATGACCTCACAACAGGTACATCGTAGGCATACTACACTCAGACCTCACAACAGGTACATCACAGGCATACTACACTCATGACCTCACAAGTACTTTACAACTTTAAAAGTGTAATGGAACAGATTCTGGTATATCATAGGCATACTACACTCATGACCTCAGAACAGGTACATCGTAGGCATACTACACTCAGACCTCACAACAGGTACATCACAGGCATACTACACTCATGACCTCACAAGTACATCACAGGCATCGTCCACTCATGACCTCAGAACAGATACATCACAGACACCCTCCACTCATGACCTCAGAACAGGTACATCATAGGCATACTAGACTCATGACCTCACAACAGGTACATCATAGGCATACTACAATTATGACCTCACAAGTACATCACAGGCATCGTCCACTCATGACCTCAGAACAGATACATCACAGACACCCTCCACTCATGACCTCAGAACAGGTACATCATAGGCATACTAGACTCATGACCTCACAACAGGTACATCATAGGCATACTACACTCGTGACCTCACAAGTACATCACAAGCATCCTCCACTCATGACCTCAGAACAGGTATATCACAGACATCCTCCACTCATGACCTCAGAACAGATACATCATAGGCATACTACACTCATGACCTCACAACAGGTACATCATAGGCATACTACACTCATGACCTCACAAGTACATCACAGGCATCGTCCACTCATGACCTCAGAACAGGTACATCACAGGCATACTACACTCACGACCTCACAAGTACATCACAGGCATCCTCCACTCATGACCTCATAACAGGTACATCACAGACATCCTCCACTCATGACCTCGGAACAGAAGTCTTTACTTGGCCTGTGTATACGTAATATCTGATAGTGCACACTTGAGTGGAATCTGCCAGCCGGATAGCGAAACCGGGTGACTTATTTCACTCAAGAATTGTCAACGCCGAACTCCATCGCCAATCAGAACGTGTAAATGTTTAGCTAAAACATGCCTGACCACCTGTATTTCAGCATCCCCTAACGTTGAAAATAAACAGAATATACACGAACAAAATCATCTTTCAAGAGAGAGAGATAGCTGGTTCCCCGTTGCATACAAGTGACAGTGAAATACCTGGGCCGACTCCGTAAATAAATAAATAAAATTACCAAGTGTAGTTCATTTTCAAAGCAGCCGCTTTCTGCCAATATGTGGAAGTCATTCTTTGAGTCAAATTACTGCTGTTTCAATGATATATTAATTTAAGGAGCACAAAAGGCTTGTTCGAGACAAACTCGACGGAGTGCAGCGAAAATTTCAAAACTTATATATTTTCAGGTCATAAATCATTTTACCAATAATTCTGCATGAGAAAGAGCACTGTCGTGATGAAAAATCCCCACTCCGGCCAAACACACGATGTCATTAGAACAAAGAGACGGACACTGTAATTCGTAGAATGAACAGGAACATCTTCGCGATATACCAGGTGATTCAAAAAGGACTTTACAACTTTAAAAGTGTACAGAAATTTAATCAGAAAGCTTAGAGGATCGGTTGAGGTGTCATTTTGTAGCAAAACAAATTAAGTTTGACTCACGTTGTGCTGTAGTACCGAATTCCGTCACCGCGAGCGCAAGCGGCAGTGCATTTGAAAATGGCTACTTTCACAGGTGCGGAGCGCGCTCGCTGTGTGCTGTGGTTTGAAGAAACGAAATCTGCGACAATGGTTCAGCGAAATTTTCGCACCCAGTATGGCAAGGATCCTCCCAGTAGACCTACAATTTACTCTTGGCACAAGAATTTTGTTGAGACTGGTTGTTCTGTTCGCCATGACAAATCTCCAGGTCGCCCGCGTGTTTCTAGTGCTGTTGTGGAACACGTTCGTGACAGCCCAAAGGTGAATGTGTTTTGTGCCCTTAGCAAAGTTAAAGTGTACGGCCCGTTCTTTTTCCATGAGAGAACCATCAACGGTATCGTGTATCTGGATATGCTCGAAAATCTTCTCATACCACAGTTAGACGAAGATGACCAAAAAGGACACATTCACTTGCAGCAAGACGGCGCACCACCTCACTACCTCACAGAAGTCCGGGATTTCCTCAATAACCGTTTCCCAGGTCGGTGGATTGGTCGAACAGGGCCGATAGCATGGCCACCTCTTCTCCAGATTTGACACCTCTCGATTTTTTCTTATGGGGTTTCATTAAAGATCGTGTGTATGTTCCACCCTTACCTGCCAATCTCACTGAGCTGAAAGCTCGAAACACCGCCGCAGTTGCAGAAGTGACACCGGATATGCTGGATCGTGTTTGGCAAGAAATTGATTTCAGGTGGGATGTCTGCAGTATCACATCGAACCAAAAAGACTGTTTGAGGTAAAACTTCATTTGGTTTGCTACAAAATGACACCTCAACAGATTCTGTAAGCCTTCTGAATAAATTTCTATACACTTTCAAAGTTGTAAAGTCCTTTTTGAATCACCCTGTATAATTCATTTGTTTTTATTAAAAAGCAGGCCAGCGTTGTTTTTACACGCATGCACTTCTAATAAGTATTATTATTATTATTATCATCATCATCATCATCATTATCATCATCCGTCCATACGCAACAATTTCCCTTAGCGTCTTGTATTCATTAAACATGAGACGACGTATTAGAATTATAAACCCATCCTCAGGCCTGAAGATGGGTTTATAACCCGAAAATGTTGTCTCTAGTGCAAAAGTCAAAAACAAGACTTTACGTGAAACTGTCGTGTACGGATAGACAATAATAATAACAATAATAATTCAGACAATGTTCCCAACTTTACGCTCCCACACTTTTCTTCTGGACTCGCCAATTTCCCATCACAGAATTTCATGATATGATTTTGAGTCGTGTATTAAGAATCAAGATTCATCGTGTCATTATTTTTGCTCAGGAAATATGGCCCATCCAGCAGAGTCGCTCGAGAAACTACAAACAATTTTATTTTTTTTCTCGTATATGTAGAATCAAAATACTGCACCATAAACAAACCACGTAAAAAACGAAGCCAACTCAAAAATCCGTTTGACAAGAAAAACCTAATTCATGTAGTCACGTGTCCCAAGACAGTCTTACCAGTGTCGTTGGACGTTGTCACTCTATGGTTTGTCATGCCTCGTCGTCTCACGCGGTCAGAATACCATTTATACGAATCAACAAGTCCTGTCTTATCACGTTCTTTTCCTCAGCATTCGATTTCTCATCACAAACAAAGTTAATTCAGTTTTATTCCCTTGGACCTTCGACAGGAGTATAAAAATAAAACGGAAATATGGAACAGACATTTCTTTTGTTAAAGCCTCGCCCCTTAACAATTTTGCATCCAATCACAAAGCCAATGATGGGTAAATCGCACACATAGAAATTCGTTATCACCGAACATGTCATGATAGGCTAAGATCGTTTGATCACTTGAATTTCTGGCCTCGAGGTCCAACCTCATGGCCTGCTCTCGCTCCCCGCACCTCCACACACCTCCGAGAGTTACAAAACTGGGAGGACATTCAGTCCGTTCAACTTGGCTGCCACAGGAAGGCCATATCTCCATTGCAAATGTAAGTCCGGCAACTTGGCTGTGTAATATTAAATATCTCTAAATCAAAGCAAAACTACTGTAAAATATTTCTAAAAAAAAAATATATATATATTCATAACGCTGATAAAGTTACTCTGCATAACACGTCTTCTGCAAATCATATTCTTCTGTCAAAAACGCTTCTGCACACTTAAATGCGCTGACGTAACTTTCACTGTGTTGTCATGCTGTGTATATCACGTCACTGTTGCAAATGATCAACAGAGTAATTAGACATCTTTGATGGGCGATGTCACGTGACGACATATTTAGCTTCCTGCTCTGTACACTCACAAAGCTGAATATTGCATGGCAAACGGAGACAGAATTATCTTGATTCGTTGATTTTAATCAACTAGTTAATGGCTAAAATGTATGTCCTGCTGGATGTATGTCGTGCGTTTGGATGGGGCTAAAGGCTTACAACACAATCGGTTACCTTGCATTAACGGGATTGCAGCTCCCACATCTGTGTGTGTGTGTGTGTGTGTTTGTGTGCATGTTACATTACGAATAAAGCGACCCCTCTTTCAATTCGTGTACGATCTGAGCTCCACATCAGTAAGGTGGTTGCAGTAATGTATTAAAAAAAAGGCAACGGGATGAAAGATGCTTTAGGCTGTGTTCAAATTTAGAAATTTTTCATCTGAGTAATGGCAGATAGGATTCTAAAACGTTGGGATGTCAGATACGTTTCTATCCCCGACCAAATATTTAAACTTAATGCGAGTTCTACTAACGTGTTGCATTCTGGTCGTAACGAAAATTTCACATTCAAAAACATATTTCCGAAATTTACTACAACACTGCCATACAAACATTCATAGAGAAATTCGTAGCATACAAAAGCGAGAACGACGCCTTAGTTTATTTAATTAGAATCCTCAGCTGTGTAATAAAAAAAATGTTTGAACTCTAAAATGTTTTATAAAGTGTAATATGGCGTGAATATGTTACTCTGGCTTACAGGGGCGGATGGTAAACAGGATTTACTAACACTCTGATGTTTCTTGCGGCTAAACATAGAACATTCTTGCCAAATTAGTGTAATTCATAAAAAAAATATTGATTAGTTTAAATTTTGCTTGAGAACGAATAGAGGATCCAGTTTCTGAAACGTCGTTTTAATGAAATTAGAACGATAGACTTATGTCCAAGAAATCCGATATTTTTATAAAAACAGCATAGTCACAAAACTTCAGATTTAACTATGTCTCCCTTCAAAATGGCTAAATATACTTATGTAAAGTGCTTCAAACTGCTTCAAGAATAAATTATATAAATTCTTGTCACATACGTGTATCTCAATATACAAATGTGTAGAGTTCTATAAACTGCAAGACTCTGGCATCTTAAATAAAAGGGCTACGTATTAAAATATTTCGAATAGATTTGTAGGATAATTCACAATACATAGAAGTAATTTTATAAAGCCCTTATAACTACACTTCCGTACGAATCCGCCCACAGAACACCTCAAGCATTGCGAACCAAAACACTGATATGAGCTCGTTCAAAACATAGGGCCCATTTATTGTAAAAAAAAATACCACTGACATATTTTTCTG